GACCCAAGGGGTCACGGTGGTCTAGTTATTAATAAAATGCTTTTCAGCTCTAAATCCCAACATTCTGAAAGAAACATCAAGCATTATAGAAACAGCACAGAAAATATTACAGTATTATACTTTATTCAAGGTGACAAGTGGATGTAAAATACAACAAGTATGATATAAAACATAATCCGTTTGATAACTCACGTAAAAAAATGTTTGTATATATATATTCAATTTACAAACGAACGATCACGTACGTATAAATTGAGCTTAAAGACAAAAACTTGTTCCGCTGCACTTCTTTCTTAAATATTAAGGTGGGAATTTGGATTTTATCACAGTAAACATGGAACATTCAAAGAAAGTGAAATTGACAAAACATGTACAATATTCAACAATTATTTACCATTATTCCACGTGCTCGTCATAACATCGTGCATTCTTTATACAGATTATTAGAAAATTACGAGGCTATGTAAAATATTATGCTTAGCATTTCCATAAGCTGCTCTTACAAACAAGATACAAAATTACTATTCCACTGTACAGCAGCTTCTACAATGCGGTTTAAATGTAGAAGTTTAATACAAGTATACAGTTTGAATCGAATATAGAAGGATATATTTCATCACATAATATTCTAAGACCTAAAGACTCAATACCAGTATCTACACACACACACATATATACAGATAAAGCAAATTTATGTACGTAACATTGTACGTTTTTACTTTTGTCCTGTTAGCACAAAGAGTAAACGAAATTTTATAATGTAGCCACTAGATGATTAAGGTTGTACTTTTAAAGATAAGATTCAGGGAACTGAAGGGGTAGAACTACAACACTGAAGATTAGGTTTGCACTGATATAGTACATTAAAATATGAGCTAACATCTGAAGTTTATGTTGGGCTTTTTCACCGCCCTTAACGTCTAAATAATAAAACAGAAATTTTTAGATCGATATATACAAATGATGCTTACCTAACAGCGACAAGAAGCTAATCCAGTAGAAGAACGTACCATCTACGTCTAATAGCATCTGATATTACTCGAAATATGATTTTCAACCACACTTTACAGATCGACATTCTTTACAACTTGTTAAAGTTTGTTCAAAATATTTATGTTAATTTACCGAGTCTTGAAGAACACTAGTGTTTTCAACAGCAAATAAAGGCAGATTTGTCTTAAGCTAATGAGCCTATCAGGCATGCCACAACATACAATACAATCCATATGTACATTGTGCAAGCAAAATGGCTTTACCCAAACACTTCGTGTGCTATGAGAGCTGTAGAATTTAAAAAAAGAAAATCCAGATAAAATTTTTATCTCTCTGTACTAATAGATAGCCAATAAATAATTGTGGAAATAAATAACTCAGCTAAAAATAGAAAATATATATATATAAGAACTACAAACGTTCTTATTTCATTTTTATCTGTTTTATTTATTTTCAAAATTTATGAGGTACCCGCAGAATTTCTAATGGAAAGCTTTCATCGATGATTTAATGCTGAAGTTGGGTAATCATGGTGGAAATTATCTACCAGCATTTATTAGTACTAGCACAGAAGCTATGAAGAAACACTTATTTCATTAAAATATAAAGTTAGTTTTTTTACATTCTTTTGGTTTCCTGAAATAATCTCTCCAAGCATTTCCTTAGCAAAAATAAAATTAGATTACAAATGTCAAATTAATTCAGCAGAAATTTTCTATTAATTATTGTTTTGAAGAAACCAATTTTGATCTAATTACTTACATGATTTTAGTTTTTTAAAGTTTTAACCGACATGCGCTGTTCTTTGGCAAAGGAAGTTGTGACATGACCAAATGCTGGTTGGACAACCCACGTGTATTTTAGTATGTATATATAAATATCTATTTTTCTATTGCTTTAACTTATAGTAACAAGTGAGGGCCAGTTTGATATTTATATAATATTGACTAAACTGTTTTTTACTTACTTTTCCCAACACAATTAGTAGGTTTCAAATTTCAAATCAGGATATTACTTCCAATTAGATTTTTGGATTAGGACGATCTTGCCTCTAGATAATGGTTTTAGCACTAATGATTTTCAAGTTTGAAGTTAATGTCTAGAGCCTAGAATTTTGAACTGAGAGTTTTAGAACAGGTGCCTTTAGAGCTGATGATATACTGAGCTTTTAAAGATGATTTTTTAGCAATATATTAGCGAGAAAACATTTTTAGTTGATCATAGTGAATAAAAAATGGAGTTTCTAGGAATGCCAAAATAAATCATCAGTGAATATCAAATTATATATCCAATACATCAAACTTGTTTTAATGGATGTGGAATATATGATATGTTGGAAACAAAAACCCACACGGAAAAGCTAGTGGTATAGTTTACAGTTGTATAAAAATTAAATGATAATTAACACAAAGTTACATTTTAAAAGCCACAATGACTTCGTCCCTAAACTATAACCCAGGACAGTGTCTACGACAAAAGTGAAGTTAGTTTTTATCTGTTTCATAAACGTTGCTCACGCCATCCAATCTTCGCAACTTGTTGTTTGTAGAAGGTTTGATGGATGTTTAGAACATGGGCATGACTGAGGAAGTTCGATGACCTACAGTTTCGCCAACGCCTGTCAAAGCCAATAAGAAAACATCAGAATTTCATCAACTGACTGTATTCGAGTTAATGATCAGCCCGTGCTGATGCACTTTACCAGGGATGGTTCTAAACAACTCGGTATATTTTCTGCTAAAGGATGCCACTGGGCTATGGGCTTCCGAGGGCTATCCAGCAACTCCATCCAATGGTCGCGTCCCAGACCGATACATCCGTTTCCGATTGCACAACATCCCATCATTTCGTTGGTTCCAACCCTGAAAGTTAAGGAATTCCAAAATAGAAGTCAGTATAGGATTACAAAATTTACGTTTTTTTAAAAATTAATTTGCAATTAAGAAGTTTGATGCTATAAAAAAATGTACACCTTAGCTTATGATAATTAAACACACTTTATATAAAATTTCGTATTTCTCAAACGAGAAAATTCATTGTTGATAATGACATTTCAATCAGAATTTTTAGAGATATTTCATAGCACTTGTTCTACTCACTTGCCTGAATCCATTCACCACGACATTTACCTCAATGACTTAAAGTTATTCCATCTACAAATTTACTTGTGTTAATGATGATATACATTAATTTCATCCACTATAATACGGTAACTGGAATTAATGCTTGTTTTTGAAAGAGAATAATGGTGGATCAAAAGAAAAACGATTTGTGAAACCAACATCAATTATTGTTATTAAAATAGTCAGAACATTACGAACCTGTCATAATTCAGAACTTTGACGATTAAGCTTACGTCTTCAATATTTTCTGCAGGAACATCGAATACTAATGCCTCATTGTAAACGGGATTCAAAGTTTCTTTTTTGACTGATGTTTTCTTCTTTTTTATTCTTTTCCCCTGACACATCAAAGACACTTTTACATAAGGATCTGAAAACAGCAAACACCAGATCAGATCATATGCAATAGGCTGTTGTTATGAAATCATTTTATAAGTATTCACTTTTATTCATGATAAATATATTTCGGTATTTCAATGAAGAAAATGTTGTCTACCTTGAAATCCATGTTTTGTAATGGTTTACTTTTATTAACATACAGGCTCATTTCATCTATTACTTCTGATCAAAGCAAATTGTCGCTATCAGTCAGAACTAAGCATTAACCCATTAATTAATAAAAATAATTTAATACTTCTCTTTAATTAGGGCATTCAAGCTCATAAAACAAACACTTAAAAATGTTAGAATGTGTTGATTCATCATTTGGGTATTGGAGTGGCACATAAGAATATAAGAGTACATAGATTAGTTACCTGAAGAGCCAGCGATGGCCATAGATTCATCAGTTGGGTATTGGAGTGGCACATAAGAATATAAGAGAACATAGATTAATTACCTGAAGAGCCAGCGATGGCCATAGATTCATCAGTTGGGTATTGGAGTGGCACATAAGAATATAAGAGTACATAGATTAATTACCTGAAGAGCCAGCGATGGCCATAGATTCATCAGTTGGGTATTGGAGTGGCACATAAGAATATAAGAGTACATAGATTAGTTACCTGAAGAGCCAGCGATGGCCGTAGCTTTCAGAGTCCTAGCTTTCAGTACAGTGACTGTCAGTCTTCCTGCTGTCGGTAGATAACACAGAGACAGCATAAGCTCTCCAAGATCTCTCTTTTCCTTGAAAAAAAGAGGGAAACGTTATCATTTTAAATCTGTTATGTATACCTTTATTAACAAAATAAAAGATCATACTGTTGCCTGTGTTGTTCTGTATTCTGATAGAATAGCTTACAAATTGTTTGGTCTATTGAAAAAGAAATACTCTCGTAATCTAAAATTCGAATTGTTTTCCGCTTCATGGGCTATTTTAGTTAATCGAATCACAAGTTGAAAGATATTTGTTGAAACTTTATTTAATCACATCATATAAATTCATTTTAAAACTTTATGCTATGTATTTTTGAAAGTTATTCCTGAGGTTGGTGATAATGTACATTAAAATAATTGTGGAGTACTTTCATTTAATTAATATCAATGAAATAAAAATCATAATCTTATATGATAACCATAATTTTGTTTGATCCTATCCTTTCTAAATCTACCTACTGGAATTTGTTTTAATATAATAAAAGTAATTCCAATATAGTTTGGAATATTACAAGACAGCTAAAAGCTATGTTGGAGTCAATTGGATTCATATTGAAAGTTTCAATTTTGTTTGTTTGTAGTTAAGCACAAATATACACAAAGGGCTATTTGTGCTCTGCCCACCACGAGTATCGAAACCCGGTTCTTAGCGTTGTAAGTGCTGTGCCACTGGGGAGCGAGAGTTAAGATTACTGAATATCCACTCACAGGCCTTCTTCAGGCTGCTACAGATAATGTAATACATTAACATTTTTAACACTTGTTTGCATATTCTACAATAATTAACCCAAACGTCGTGTGTACGATTATATCTCTAAAGCTTATAGAGGAGCCTTCTAACAGTTGATAAGAAACTGCTGCGATTTTAGGCTTAAGAAACAACTGACTCATTTATTTGTATTTGTCATAAATTCCATTATGAATTTTACTGACGAATAAATACACTATACTGATTTTCAACATACAGATCATAAGCATATAATTTTAAATATATTTTACAACTGCTTGTCATTTTATTGTAATCGGTGTTGTTAAGTTTGGCTTTCGAAGCTATCAAAGATTTGAGAAACAAAGATAATGAAATACTGATTGCTGATAAACGATGCAGTGTTTGCTAAACAAGGTTAATAATTTTAAACCAGTTTAAACAAAGATTTAGCCCTAAAATTACCGTCCTGTTTTTATAGCGTTCATTACCAGTGCCACATATTGCATCGTGTCGAATAATTTAAATTTTGCCCGTTAGAATACTCGTGTAAGAAACTAACCAAAGCCATTATTTTGGAAACCACTCAATTTCTATGTAAAATGTATGGGATATTTCAGCAATAATTAGTGTGATTAACCGAAATATTTAGGATATATTGTGTAAATGTTTTGTGTTACTCATACGTTATTAGGCATCTTGAACCAACAAAGTCATGAAGGACTACCGGTAATTCTAGAGCTAGTATATATAAAAACATTTGAGTAAAACTACTTTTAGTAAAAAAAAAAAAGGATTTCAGGAATATGTGTAAGAAAGATATTTGAAACTATTGTTCTCTAGGTGGTTATGAACTTTTTTATATTTGACTCTTTGTATTTAACATTCTGATATACACAATTTTGAAATATATGAGGTCATTTATGAGTTTATTAACTGAATCTTAATTTATGAAACTGTTCACACATTCCTATAAATGACTCTAAAATTCTATTTTATTTTCAACTTTTGGTGGCATCGGTTTTCTATTTGAAAAGTCGTAAGCTCAGATCTACTTTTCATATTTAAAGTTTTCAGTAATATTTTATCCAGGTCTTTCTAAACAAACATTACTCGCCATAAACATAAATAGTTAGCAAAATTGCTTTCTCTTTTTTGCTCCTTTAACCGTACAAAAACAACAAATTTGTATGTCAAGGATATCGTGTACTACTAATACCAACTCTTAAAGACATGCAAATTATCAACCTTGAAATCAACTGTCTTTTTAACAGACTCAAAGAAGAAGACTAAAGAACTAAACCTTTATCAGTATCTGAACAAATATACTAACAAGCAGGAAAATTTCACTATACATATACCAATGAGACAGTGATATTAGGTTTAACCAACAAGACTTGTGTTTTTAAAATGTCAGCGTTGTATGATTCTAGCTCATTGAATAATGTCTCCTGGGAACAATTGGCAGAGAAAGTCGTACAATGAGGATAATGAGAAAGAGCGCAGATCAACGTTCTCTTTTAACTCCTACGATTTTACACAAAAAGTGTAGCGATCTCCAGCGAAACCCTAACTTAAGAGCAACCATGAGACATTTAATACCAAAAGTGAAAGGCCTTAGAAACACTTTAAATTATTTGGATGAAATTATAGAGTTTTCAAATTACGTTGTAAGGCAGGTTTTCTACTTTTAGGTGTAAAATCTTTATCCAAACCGGAAAGGTTAAAGATGCTGTACTAAGTTTATTGTGTAGAAACAATGGGAATATACGTAATAATACTAAAATGTATGTATCCATGTTTACTTGACATTTGAGTTTCTCTCTTCATGTTCATGGATAGATGGGTCTTCATGAAAATCTATATGGATATTTAAAGGCTCGTTCGAAATAAATATCTACTTTCACATTTTCAAAATGCCAGCAAAGAGCTATTTCTTCACATTCTATTTGCTAATTACTTCGTTCGAAATAAATATCTACTTTCACATTTTCAAAATGCCTGCAAAGAGCTATTTCTTCAC